ATCTTCATTTTTAAGTAGATTAATAAATGATTTATCAGGTGTTTCAGCAAATATTAGCTATGCCACTTAATCTTGATAAAGAATTTAGCTCTGATTTATTTTTCTCGTTTACTAACATTATATTTGTTTAGTCATTTCTTACTACTTAGTATCTTAATGGTTTTTTAGACCAATTCATTGTGTAGTTCCTGTCTTAATCACCAATACAGTATAGACAATATATTAATTATGCAATGCATTCTGTCATTGTCTTGGGTTTATTTCCTAAGTGGCTTTAAAAGTCTATGAAAAGTTACTCCAAATTTAATATCAAGTACGATTTTGATATAGATGGTGTCTTCTGTTCCGGATCCACATTTGTGTAAGAGGTTGCTTGATTTCTACTTGACCATTAGTGACTTTGGATGAAAATGAAGCCCATGAACTATAACCAAACACCTGATGTTTACTTTGGTACAGCTTCACCATGGTGCCTGAGAACAGGTTGAGAGGTTAGCCAATTCCCAGTTAGTTTAAGTGGAGTTTTAAGTTGTTTTAAGCATGTCTTAATAGTGTATTATCTTAAGACCAGCCTGCAGAAGCTCAAAACTTTCACCTTCCAGGTACTGTAGGGTTTAGTTAGCAGCTATCAAGACATTCTTTTTAAATCAGCGAAGTGAAGAATTAGAAATTCTTGATGTTATTTGTTAGGAAGTGATGGAATTTCTGAACTCAAATGTTACCCTTTTAACAAATTAATGCAAACATCGTGGTAAGTTGGTGCTTAATAAAGCATTGTATCTTCTTTTGTTACCCTCCTAGGGGTTTGCTTCTGAGATTTTTTTTTCTTTTTTTATTTCCTTAACGTGGCAAAGCTAAACACTTGCAAACCTAAGACTTTTCCGTGATGGTTCTTCAGTGAACTATCCATTTGTATCTTTTGCTGCTTTAATCCTTCAAAACAATGACATTTCAAAATCCCTTTGTTCAGAAAACAGAGGTAACCAATAATTTGTTACGATTTAAGGGTTTCTCCTCTTCAAAAATCCGAAGTCGTCGAGATGGTTAAGAAACAAGTCAAAGTCGTCACTCTTGCGATCGGCGACGGGGCGAACGACGTCAGCATGATACAGACGGCGCACGTTGGCGTGGGTATAAGTGGCAATGAAGGCCTGCAGGCAGCCAACTCCTCTGACTACTCCATCGCTCAGGTGAGGCGTCGTCTCTGCAACGCATGGCCTTCCGCTCGGTCACCTAGCACGGTGGAGAGGAAAATACTAATTTTTCTCCACTCTTATTTCAGTTCAAGTATCTGAAGAATTTACTGATGGTTCACGGTGCCTGGAACTATAACAGAGTCTCCAAGTGCATCTTGTACTGCTTCTACAAGAACATAGTACTCTACATCACCGAGGTAACAGCAGATCGAATTTAAAACCCTTGTCGCTGACATACGTACTTAAAGACATTCTCTTTATGAAGGTGTTTTCTCATTGTTTTAATGTGTCCACTTTTTATAACTCGTTAAAACAAAAAGTTTGCCCATCATGGAGAGTAATCGATGTTTAAATTCTAGCTAAAAATGCTGTGCTGCTTTGATAGGAAATGTTGAATTAGAACCGCTAACGAAGTCATGTTTTCAGTTTTAAAAGGACTGCACGCTGGACCGCATTTTTTATAAAGCCCAAAAACATAGAAGGAAGCAATATACCAAGGAGGGGTAATATACATGTGGAAAATTGTATTTAAAAAGAAAAGTGAGGAAGTGATAAACACAAAACTAAGGACAGCAGTTCTAATCCTTAGAGTGGGAAAAAGACAGAATCAGGAAGGATATACAGGTGGCTTTGCTAGTATCACTAGGTTGTCTTG